GCACTATCAGCTCCGTAGTACTTCAGTTTGTTTAACTAAATCAAAATTGTTAGATGGATCCACAATAAAAGTCTGTAGAAGACTTCAGAAAAACGCGTCAATACTGAGTTGCATGCCTTGCACATTATTTCTTATTCAGCTAGTAATACTATTAGCTATTAGTTTACTTTTTTGCTTTATAGCTTACCTGAAACTGAGTTGCGTTTTTGAAGGAAGAGCCTCCTTCGATGAACTGTCGCGTACAAGATGTACCATCATCGTAGATACGGTACTGGAGTGGTACTGCAGTTCCATTGTACCGTATAGTCTCCTCTTTTTCCGAGGGTAGAGGGCATATCTTAGTTTCGTTGAAACGATTCCGCCAGAAAGAGAGGCCTATGGGTTGCTGAAACACAAGTCAACGAGTTTGATGGGATGATGTCGGGTTACCTGAGAAAATTAGTAGAGAAACAGTATAAAAAGTAGCACCTGTTAGATCTCGCTTAAAATCTTTGAAAAAGGGATAATGTACAGCCAATTTTTTTTGTAGAATGCGAAATCGTTTAAGTACGTGCACTCTTTATGAAACTAGCAGCTCAGTAGTCAAAGCGTTAGATGCAGCAAAATAGCTGCGTCGGACGCACTTGTGATACGGCAGAATATTTGGCACGCACTATGCTTACATTACCTACAGGCACCAGAACATCAGGCTCCACCTGCACCACTTCAGTTACTTGTAAATTCAACTGGGGCGCCCTGATTACCAATAGCAGACAGATGGTTTAGCATGACAAGCAATTTGCATTGAATTGAAATATGTTATAATAATAAAAAACGTTACATTTGTACACCAGCAGACAAAACATCACGTGATGAACATTTCAACTGAGGAAGAGTACTTGCAAATGGTGCAGCGAGTTCAATGATGTTTCGTTCAATGTGTGGAAGCATTGATAAATATGAATGGATAGTTATTGCTGAGGAATATATGACAATTTCAATATTGAAAAGTCCACAAAAATCGACTTTGAGTAGGATCTCGCGAATTTTTGAGACACACGAATTATGATAAGAGATCAGCACTACAAAAACTAATAATGAGCTCTTACTACATTTCAAATCTATTTAAAAAATAT